CAATTTTCTATATTACTTACTTCCTCAGAGCTGGGATAAAAATATCTGATACCCACAATTTAAAGAAGGAGAGGTTTATTTTGGTATAGTTTCAGATGTTCAATCCACAAGGTTGACTCCAAGGCAGAAATAGCATAATGAAAAGAGATGATAGAGGAAAGCTGCTCATACCATATTGGTCAGGAAGGAGAGCAAGTGAGAAGAGGAGAGAGAAGTGAGAAGCATTCCAGGTCATGCTTCCAGTGACCTTCCTCTTCCAAATGGGCCCTACCTCTGAAGAGCATAGTCAGTTACAAACTCATTCCTGGACTAATCCATTGATCAGTATAGCATGGATCCCTCATGATCCAATCACCTTTCAAAATCCCTACCTCTGAACATGAGGCTTTGGGGGACATTTGAAATCTAAACCAGAATACTCTCCATCATTCCTCTCTACAAAAGAAACACATTAGAGTGAGATTAGTTAGTATAAAAAGTTTAAGATAAATGTATTATATAACAACACTACAAAATAGACCTAAGAAGCAACTACAGAATACTTCACCTTGATGACCACAAAATATATAACACTGTTTTTCTTTTTTGTTTTGGTTTTTCTCCGGTACCAGGAACCGAACTCACGACCTTATGCTTGCCAGGTAGGTGCTTTGCTGCTGAGCTAAATCCCCAGCCCCCACTGTTTTTCTTTTTATTTATTTATTTATTTTGTACTGAGAATTGAACTCAGGACCTTGTGCTTGCCAGGCAGGTGTTTGGGCCATAAAGCTATACCCCCAGCCCTACACTATTTTTCTGGAGTACATATAAACAGTGTCTAGCATATAGTGTCTAGCATATAAAACTAGTTTCAATTAGTTTAAAAGGGCTTACATCATACCAAGTACATTTTCTAGTCATACTGAAAAGAAATTAAAACTCATTAACAAGAGAAAATATAAGAAATCAATAAATGTATGGAAAGCAACATTCCAAAATAACCAAATGATCAAAGAATAAATCTTGAGAAAAAATTAGAAAACATTTTGAGGTGAGAGAAAATCAATATATATCACACCCAAACTTACAGGTTACTGCTAAAGCACCTACGTGAATAAAGGGGGATGGGAATATAACTTAGTAGTAGAGTATGTGCTTAGCATATGCAAGACTCTCCTGAGTTTGATGGCCAGCTCCACATAGGCACATCCAATTACTTATGCTTTTATAGTCAGGCAGAGTGGCAGACATCTGTAATCTCAACACTTGTGAGGCTGAGACAGAACATCTGTAATCTCAACACTTGTGATGGCAGAGACAGAAGGATTCAAGGTCAGCCTAGGCAACTTAAGTGAAACCATGTCTCAAAATTTACAAGGGGTTAGACACAGCTCAGTGGTGGAGTACTTACCTAGCATGCAAAATGATCTGGGTTTAATCCCCAGTAGTGGAGGGAAGAAAGAAAAAGAAGAAGATGTCAAAACAATAACCTAACCTTCTACCTAAAGAAAATGTAAAGAGAAGAATAAGGACAATCAGAAGAAAAGAAATAGGAAAGACTGGAATGGAAATTTATGAAATAAAAAACAGAAAAATACTAGGAAAAAAAAAAAAGCCAAAGTTGGTCCTTTGACAAGAGCTAAAAATGTAACAAACCTTTACGTGGGCTGATCAAGAAGAACAGAGATAAAGCTTGCATTAGTAACACTCAGAAAGAGGAATTCACTATTTGCCTTGCTGATTTAAAACCAATTAAGTGAAAATACTGCAAACAATTATATATACTAACAAATAAGATAATCTAGCTGAACTGGATAAATTCCTAAAAAGAGAAGGACTGAAACTGACTCAACAAAATTCTAAGATACTTAGAATAAGTACAGAGATTTTTTTTGTAAACAAAAAACTCCCCCAAAGGAAAGCCTAGCTTAGATTATTTCACTGGTGAATTCTACCAAACATTTGAAGAACATCAATTTTTCCGAAAATCCTCCAAAGACAGGACAGGAGGAAACACTTCCTAAGTCATGCATGAAACCAGAATCACTTTAACTTCACAACCAGACAAAGCAAGTGTGGTGGTACATGCCTGTGATCTTAATGCTTGGAAGGTTGAGGCAGAAGGATCGTAAGTATGAGGCCAGTCTAGGGTGTAGTAGCAAATTTAAAGCTAGTTTAGATTTTACAGTGAGACCCTGATTCAAGAAAAACAAAGCCAACTAAACAAAAACCAGACAACATCATCATTTGAAAAAGAAACTATAAATATAGTCATAAAAGTCCTCAGTGATACCTGGAATTCAATTAATAGATTATATCAATTCATTGGAAGACAAGAATCACATGACCATATTAATAGATGTAGAAAAGGCATTTGACAAATCTAACGCCTGCTATTGATAAAAAATCCTCAATAAATGAGAAAAAGATGTCCTCACTAATCTAATAATGGGTATTTATGAAAAATCCACAGCGAAAAAAATACTTAATTAGTGAAAGTTTCCTCTCTAAAATCAGGAACAAGTCAAAGTTGTCTTTTTCCACCTTCTCCCTCAATACTGTATTGGAAGTTCTAGGCAAGACAAATAAGCAAGAAAAGAATTAAAATGTACACAATAGAGAAGGAAGAAGTAAAAGTGCCTCTATTTGCAGAAAATATGACCTGATATATAGGAAAGCCCGAAGAATTCACTTGAAAACTATTAGAACTAATAAATGAGTTCAGCAAGGTTATGGAATACAAGTAGACAAAAATCAATTATCCAATGAGTGATATGAAAATATAACAACAATTTTATTCATAATAGTATCAAAAGAATAAAAATACTCGAAATAAATTTAATAAAAGCAGTGCAAACTTGAGCTCTAACAACTATAAAACATTGTTGAAAGAAATGAGATAAATAAAAGTAAAGATATTCCATATTCATGGATCAGAAGTCTTAAAACTATTAAGATGACACTATTCTCAAAGTGACCTACATAGTCAGTACTAACTATATCAAAATCCTAACTCTTTATTTGGGGAGAAGGAGAATTAAAATTTATGTGCAAAGGCAAGGGATCCTGAATAGCCAAAACTTTTTTTGTTTTAAACACAGCCTTGCTATATATATTGCCCAGGCTGGCCTTAAAGGCCTAAGCAGTCTCAGCCTCCCAAGTAGCTGTAAATACAGGCATGTGTCACTCTGTCCAGCTCAAAATAATCTTGAAAATGGAAAACAAGATTGGAAGACTCACAATTTCTGATTTCAAAAGGATTACAAAGCTACAGTAATTAAGGCAATATGATACTGACTCACATATAGACATATGAAATATTAAAACAGAATTGACAGTCCAGATGTGTGAACTCTCACTCTAAGGTCCACTGATTAATTCAGTGGTGGGAAGGATTTTTTTTTTCAACACATAGTACATCCACAAACAAAAGAAAACCTGGACCTCTTTCTCATGTCACATGTAAACAACTCATGGATCAGCAATCACCCACATGAAAGACCTTAAAACTCTAAGAAGATACAGGAGAAATCTCTATGATTTTAGGTTATGCAAAATCTTCTTTGATAGGATACCAATAGGACAAGTAGTAGAAGAAAAATATAGGAAGACCATACTTTCATCAAAATTTAAACTCTCATGCTAACAAAATCAAGGGAGTGAAAAGACAACCCACAAAATGAGGGAGATATTTGTGAATCATTTATCTCATAAAGAACTTGTAAGAATATATAGAGTGGAATACTTTCCTGCATGTGTGAAGCTCTGGGCTCAACCCCCAAGACTGTAAAAAAGAATATACAACAGCAGATAACCCACTGCACCAAGAACAGTTTACAGCCCCTCAAAATGCTAAACATAGAATTACTGTATAACCCAGCAATCTGCTCCCAATACAAACCCAAGATAAATGAAAATTTATGGCTACACCAACATTAATATGGCTTGTTTTATTGTCAGCAGCATTATTCATAATAAAAAAGTAAAAAATAGAACTCAAGGAGTGGAATAACCTAAATGCTTATCAACTGATTAATGGATTAAACAAAGTAGTATATCTGCTAATAGAATACCCCCTGGAAATAAAAAGGAATGAAATACTAACACTGCTACAGTATGGCTATACCTTGAAAATATTATGTAAGTGAAAGAAGTCAGTCACAGAAGAACAAATACTATATTATTTCATTTTTATAAAATGTCCAGAATAAGTATATTTATACAGAAAGAAGACTGATGGTTGCTTTGGTAGAGAGGAGTTAGAACCAGGAGTGACTGTTCCTGGGAGCCTCTTTTTGAGTTGATGGCAATCTAAAATAAATTTGCCCTCAGTAAAAATATCCACAAATGCCAAACCAGTGATAAATGGCCTCACAAATTCCCCTTTGTGAATTTTTGAAGCATTGAAGAATGACTTAGTTACAATAAACCTTTTAATAAAAAAATACTTAGGGATACTGATGCTACAAATGGAAAATTAATGTATTATTTCCAGATTAATAATTTAAAACTTGAAAAATAAGAATGTCAAATGTATAAGTTGACAATGGAATCAAATATGTGAACCAGATGTATAAAAATATAAATTTAAATCAAAAAGGTTTTCCCTGGTCAATTGAAACAATAAGGGAGCCCGGTGTGGTGGCTCATGCCTGTAATCCCAGCACTTAGGAGGCTGAGGCAGGAAGACTGCTGTGAGTTTGAGGCCAGCCTGGGCTACATAAGTAAGTTCAAGGCCATCCTGTTCTGTACAGCAAGGCCCTATCTCAAAAAACAAACAATAACAACAATAACAACAAAAAACAAGGCATCCATATGAGCTTGTTTTTATGGAAGGAGATGTGACCTTTTTATAAATAAATCATACTTAAAAAAAGATGAGAATTATATTTTTTTTAGGAGGCTGAGTGAAAAGAATAAAGCAGTAAAAGGAAGGATAGTGAAAGTGAGTGAAAAACTGCTGGTCTCTTAGCATTCTACATTTCACATTACATCACTACTTAAGACTCCATTTGACTCACCAAGTCTATAGAATCTGCTGATGGCGGGTTTGACTGAAATGCAGAGGCCTCATTTTCCTCTTCGCTCTTCTTGCAAGGCACTTGCTTGGAAGGGAGCAAATTGTACCACAGAGTGAAAACCTCACTGGAAAATGGTAAATCTGCCAGGCTGACCTGAGTTCCGGCCTACAGGAATTCAAACAGACAAAAAAGAGGAGGATGAAAGAAAATCAAACGTTTAAATCAGTATTTGTTCCCTCTGATATGATAAAGATTTTTAGGGGAGCTTACCTTAGGACAAAAAAAGCAATACTCGTGATCTAAAGTATTGCTATTGTTGTTGTTGTTGTTTTTAAACCTGGAGATGCTATTTACTTAGTGGTGACTTGGTAAGAAATAAATCTCAACCTAAAAACCAATCCTGGGATTCTTTTGTGAGATACAATTATGCCCACATCTAATGACTAAGGGAATGACATTTAAGTGAAATAAATGACTAACCCCAACCCATGGTACTTCTTATAATGTGCCACAAGTGTGGCTTGATTATTACTCATAAAAAACTACTATCTACCGGAAAAATATAAAAATAAATAAAAATTTCACTTTGGTTCTTGAATGAGAAAGGAACGAAATTTTTCTTCGGATACATAAGTTTGTAGAATGTCCAAAAAAAGTAAAGGTTAAAGGCCGTTTATATTTCTCCACAACACATCTAGCCAGAATTTAAATTCAACTATATTATTTTTTAAAAGGCTGTCAATTAACATATTTAGTAACTTTATTGGTGGCTCTGATATACATTAAATAAGACATCTATTATATAAAGGCCTTTCTGATAGTCTAACAAATCTAATAACCTTTGCTTCTTTCTAATTTTATTATTAGACGATATTACAAATATTTTCTCAAATAAAGAAAAAATTACGAAGAAACCTACCATCCTTTTTAACTTTGTGCATCACTAAAGATGTGTGCTTCCCCTGGAGTGAAGAAAAAAGTTTGGCTAGAAGCTAACATGGTTTTTGACCACATGAGCCCACCTCTACACGCCTGCACTTGAACACCCATGGAACTTTACCTGTCAGTGATGGTTTTACTAGTTACTATGCACAACAGTGTGCTAAACTTACTGTTAATTATGTTGTTTTCTACTGTAGCATGTAAACACAACATTGCTCTAAACAGTAACACTTCATCCTGTAAGCTCTAATACCATGGCCAAGGAAACTGAGTTGAATAAAGGAACCATATCCTCCGTATGTTGTTTAATTTTAATTTGTAACAGTGAATTATGTGTGGGATGTCTTTTTGATATCTGGCTCTATCATTCACTAGGTGTGTGACCCTTTCTGTAAGCAGCTTTTTATCCGAAAATAGGGGATGATCACACCTTTCACAATTAATCTTTCATAAAATTGCTGGGAGGATTAAAAGAGGTAATACATACAGAACACTCAGCCTTGGGCTTAGAATTGGGCCTAATAAGAATGCTCTGTAAGTGATGATCATAACAAAGGTAAAAATTCTGTAATCAAAGGGTAGAAATGGAAAGCTAAGCTGTATTTAAAAAAATTACATATTATAAGCAGATTTTAAAGATCTGGAATATGGGAAACAACAGAAATCACTACTTTGGGGAAAAAGAACTGAAACAACCATTAGATGTATCCCAAGGTGTTGGATAAGTCCGTAGTGGTTTCAGGGCTAGCAAAACAGCAACCAGACAGTATCATTCTCAGAATATCTGATCATACATGTTATCTGAAAATGGCACTTAGATGAAGACTCCTACCAGGCATTCTTCCCTGCGGTGTTTACTGACACAGCAAAGATCAACTCTCAGTGTCTTCTGCTGCAAGGTTGTTTGGGAAATGGCCATTCTGAATACATCGTTGAACAGCACAGACTCTGTGGGTGGATGGACTTTTGTTCGAAATAAACAGCTGACATCAGTTGAGGAAGGAAGAACAGCAACCCTAAAATACCTGTAAAGAACAAGAATAAATGAATCTCATAGGTACTTCAGAATTACATGGGATTTACAGCTATCATTTGCAATTATCTGCAAAAGAGAGAGAATGAGGGAACATGATGTTCATTATTAACTGAAAGCACTGCTGCCATAATGGGTCAGTGCTTAGCTGCAGAGATGCTCTGTTCTTAACCCACCCGTGCCAACTGTGCCCCTGAGCATGCGACAGCCCGGCCTGCCACTCACCACGGGACTGCAGCAAAGGCACATGATAGGAAAGTGAAGAGGAAGAAAGTCCGTGGGGCAGATGAATTTAATGTCCCACCTGCCCCATGTACAGCCAATTCCAAAACAAGTTATTTCTGAGCCTAGGAAGGCAGGGACACACTAAGTAGATACTGGTGACTTTATCCCAAAGAATCCTCATCCTGAGTATTAAACAAGAGAGGCTGTGATCACTTCCCAGGAATGGAATACATTATCCTACTAGAGAAAAAGAAAGGCTAAGTAGCATATTGTTAACAAAATTTAAAACAGATGAAACAGCAGTTCAAAATATCATCTAGCATCTCTAAAGTCGCAAATACGACAAACTCTTAAAAGAGTTTCATGCTTTGTAAAATTCAAAGGAAGAGTTACAGTTAACAATAACTTTGAATGCTACTTGAGAGTGAATTTTCTGAGCACACATGTGAGGAATTGCAGTTCTTGCAAACAGCATGAGGTATCTTCCTTCTAATTCCAGAAAGAGAATATCCACTAAATCTTCTCCCTGTCTCCATTTTCCAAGCTTGTCTAATTCATATTCTAAAACATGCCTTTCTCTAATTAGAAAACCTATAAATTCAAATGCAGAACTGAGGAATGTCATATTATTTTTTATTTTATATCAACATTAATTATGGAGGTTCAGCATTAACAATCTGGTGAGCCCTGGGCCACTACTATTGATTTAAGATCTTACTAAAACACAGCTCCCCCTCCCTGGGAGGCTGGAAGCTCAAAGAAGAATCTTTTTTTCTCTGGCTTTATGGAAAAGCAGTAATTAGCAAGTACAATAGAGTTAAATGGAGGAAGAAATTCTGTTTCTCCAGCCTTCAGGTTTATTCTGTATCAGTGGCCTAACCACTTAGATCATCTCAAAATATTTCCCCATCAAACAAGAGCAGTTTTACATAGTTCAGACATGAAGGCAGTGGGCAAGTGGGTAGGAGTGCTTTTCCTCCCATTCTGCTGCAGGCGAGGGCCCTCCAAAGCAGAACAAGGCAAGCCACGAGCCACTATCATAAATACCATGGCTCTTGTCAACAAGCAGAAGTTCCAGCTCTGCTTGTTAGATATTAAAAAACTAATTTTTAAACTGGGGGGAGGGAAAGAACATTAAGGATATTTTATACTAGTTGTAACTTTTAGCAATCTCACTATTTAGGTCAAGGCTCTTAAATATGGCTTTAAGAAAATGTTGCTATATATCTCAGGAAAGTTCAGATCAATTAGACAGTAACTACAAACAGCTGGGGAACAGAAGTATGTTCTACACTCATCAGCTGGCTGAGTACTGCTATTGCTCCTGAACTACCCTGCGAGTCATCATACCTTCTGACTTCCTCTGAGGGTAGTGAGGATGACCATGATTGATTTACACCCTCATAATATGGGCTTAAAGAAAGTACATGTTCTTGGACATTTTGTAATTTTTTCTTGGACTTGAGTTGGGTCTTACTGTTTAGAGTCTATTTCTGGCAGACTTGTATTTTCCCTGATCTGCCTTACTAAAAGGCCACTAATGGTACATTTTAATATCACAGCACATTCACAGGAAGGGAGAAGTCACAAATAGTATTATCAAGCCAGACTTCTCTGAATACCACTCAGTAATATTTTAATCTCGGGCCTGGGCAGCAGGCTCTCTGGGGTGAACTGGGCAGTGCCACATTACGCCTTCTCTCTTTACTAGTATCACTAATGATATGAGCTCCCTATGACTTGATTTCAGGAAGCGCTCTAAATCCACTCCCTCCTAAATCCTATTCCTATCCAGCTTTGATGACTGTCCATAGACAGCTAACCGCTCTCTCAGTTCTTCTGTTGCCTGATAACTAGTCCCCATCTAGATCTTTTTTCCTCAGGTCCAGTTTCTTTTCTCTGACATGAATATGTGAACTAACCTAAAAATAAGCCTTAGGGCAAATTCCCAGAAACCTTATATTTACTGTGTAAAAAGTCCTATTCATTGAGGAATTTACTCTACTATTAAGGGAAACACTGCCTCACTGGATATAGAGCATTGGGGATCACTCCTCAATAGCTTTTTTTAAATTTCTAAGCCCTGGTCCTGCCATGTTCAAAATATTACTAAGACCTACTTCTTCCAAGAAGTTTAAATGCAGAGTGGACAAATAGATTGTTTTCTCAGTCAGGGGTGCTAAATTGAAATCTGGTATCTGTGTGGTAATTTCTAGCCATGAGTCCTTAAAAGACTCACTGGACCTCTAACTTTAGAAAGTGTGCATGGTGGTAAAGATCTCCAGAAATATGTAAGGAAACAGCCCTCACAGGAAGCAATGGGCTGTGTATCATTATGCCATTGCTTTGTTAGACTTCTTGATTTGACACAGTGAAATTACTTTAAGAGATAATTGGTCACAAGGAAATGAATGCTGGATGACAAAAACGTACATTCACATATAACATGACAAAATTCTTGAAGGGCAATGTTGTACTGATAAAATTAACCACTTCATTTTCATTAAAAGATCAGATAATTTCTCCAAACATGTAGAAGTAACTACTATGCAATAATAATTTATCTGATTTCCAGCAATCAGTCCCTGACACACATACTGCAGGATTTTTTTTCCTCTGGTCTTTTGTTTTTTTGAGACAGTGTCTCTCTATGCAGTTCAGGCTGGCCTTGAGCTCACTTTGGCTGGTCTCAAACTTGCAAGGATCCTCTTGCCTCAGCCTCCCTAGTGCTAGGACTACAGGCATGCGCCACCATGCCCGAATTCTAATGCAGGATTTTTGGCCAGAAAGGAAATAAAAAGTGTTGATTCCTTTTCTTAATGAGGAATCAAGTGAACAAAGACCAAATTCCAATTCGCCTCTCACATTTTCCTTTTCTCATCATCTTTATCTACTGTTGATATAGATGTGATCAGTCCTGCTGTCCTTTCCATATCTTCATTTTGATAAACTGCTGGTCACAGTGGAAATTATCCTCTGTGGAAGTTTCTAAGCACCTCAATTTGTTTTTCACCGACTTTACTTACACTTTTGAAGTATGAGGTATCAAGAAGGCATGCAGATTTCGCAGTTGTACTATAATCACCATGAAACTCGAACTTTTTGCATCGTATCTGTCAAAAGAGAAGCTAAATGAAATAAGAAGTAAACCACAAGCTACTGCTGGCTGTATAGATCTCTAGAACTGCTCCTCCTCCATGCACACTGTTTTACCTGAGTCCTATCTGCACCTGGGCAGATTCCACTACGGCTGCATCCTCTTCGCTATATGGAGCATCTTCCATTTCATTAGGCCTAGGAAAAGCGGGTAGGTGAACACTCAGTTAATGGGGATAAAGATCATGATTGTTGTTGGCCACTAAATATTTGAACAAACAGTTGAATTGATTTTTTTCTTTGTACTGTTTTTTAAAATTAATTTTATTGGTACACTATTGACATAAAGATCACATTCATCATAGGGAATTTATACCTATAATAATATATCTTGATTCTTCCCCCCATTCCCTCCCAACCCTTTTTCCCCTCTTTGTTTACAAAAGGTTTGCTCCATTTTCCCCATTTATTCTCTTTTTATTCCTTTTCCCTTCCTTCCCTTCTTACTTCCCAATAGCTATCATCTATTTTGGTCCTTATTTACTCTTTTGGTTTCTCACACAAGAGAAACAATGTGACATTTAAAAACGTGGGTCTGATTTATTTCACTTGAAAGTATGATCTCAAGGTGTATCCATTTACCAAAAAATGTCTCAAGTGTATCCTTCTTTATGAGACAGTGGTGCTCCACTGTATATAAAAACCGCATTTCCTTTTTCCATTCATTCTTTGATGGGGATCTGGGCTGTTTCCAAGATTTAGCTGTTACAAATTGCGCTGTTGTAAACATGGGTGTGCATCTATCAACAGCACTTACACCATCCTGGGGAAAACGGTCCCAGCAGAAGTTGCTGTTTCAGAGGCTTTCTCACCTCTCCAAGAAGAGTCCGCCTCTGAGCTAAGGGAACAGACTTTCTGATGTCTTTCTTGAGCTTTCCTATGCTAATCACATTTTCAGACACCCCAGGCTTTCAGAAATCCACACAAGATCTTTATGTGCTGTAAAGGCATTAGTAAAGCAATATTCCCACTAAAATCAAGTTTTTAAAGTATTGACAAGAGTCAGCTGATCTGAGCACACCAATCTGTTCATCATTTCTACGGCTGATGGGGTATTTCTGGTATACTGGAATTTCCAATCACACCATTTCTTTAATGGCTAAGGTCCTTACTGCTCCATAGGGTAGACTAATGGCTACAGCATGTTTATAATATATAACGCAAAGGTCCTACTGTGAAGAGCCACAAGAAGAAACAAGGAGATTTGGAGCAGCAAAACAGTACTCTTGCTGGGCCCTTACTGTTTCACGGAGGCTTCATAAACCCCACTGTCTCCAGCTACAGACTCATCAGATACAGCAGCAGACACACAAGCCGTTTTCTCCCCAGGCAAATGGATTATTCTTCTTTTTGGTAATGATTTTTCCACATCTAAGGAGGGGAAAGTGATAGCACTAATTAGGATTTTTTAAAAGGAAACATTAACTATAAAGTACAGTTTGGTTACCTGAAAGCCAAAGTATAGTTTCCTTATGAGAATAAAGGAGTTACTATTCAAATCAACAGATATGGATGTGTCAAAGTGCCGTGACTTAGGAGAGTTCTGGGACCCCAGTTATTTCAACTGTTACTTGGGAAAAAAAACCACAGGTTTTTTTTTTTGTTTTGTTTTGTTTTGTTTTGTTTTGTCCTGAAATATTTTAAGGGAAGGGATTCACAAATTCTTACTGGTCCCCACACTTTTTCCTTCAGGTACTCACAAATTACTATTTGTGTGTGTGTGTGTGTGTGTGTGTGTGTGAGAGAGAGAGAGAGAGAGAGAGAGAGAGAGAGAGAGAGACAGAGACAGAGAGACAGAGAGAGACACAGAGAGAGACAGAGAGAGGGAGAGAAACTATGTGCTTTTCTCAAGTACTAGAGATATTTCTACTTGCAGAGCTTCCAGCTACTCAAGGGAAAAAAAGGTTTCTACCTCTTGCTTTCTGCTTCTTTTCATATGCACATTCTCTGGCTCCTGTGTGGCTATTCTAACATAAATTAAAGAAAAAACATCTTTGACTTACAGGAATCCCTCACTAGCTAATACCATTAAAACAACTTTTTGTGCTTCTGAATCTTTAGTACCAACTACCACTTAACTTTTATCTCTAACTCATATTCATACACCAGCATCCTGCAGCGAGCAAGGAGCATTCATTTAAAGCTGTGTTCGGTACTGTAATAAGCTGCAAGCCTGCAGAGTCCTTTCATCCTGGAGTGAGTGAGCCAGCAGATCAGTATTGGTATGCATTTCGGCCCCCTTCTGAGTCGTGACTTTACATCTTGTTAAGATGTTTAAGTTTTAAGGCTTGAGATTACAGGATGGATTGCTGCATTTTCCCTTTTATTTCTGGCAGTGGGAATGCTTTTTCCTTGATGATGAAGTGCCTTCTCTCCGCCCACCCTTCTTTGTGAGGGGTGAAGGTGATGACATGATTTATTGATTACCCTCAGGAATAACCACAGCAGCCTGAAATTGACTTTGACAATGACAGAGACTGACTGTAGAAAGACTTCATAGTTATTCCAACTTCATTTCTGTCATCCAGCAGGGATTGGTGCTGAAGAGCAAAATTGATATGAAAGGGACTCAGCTTCAGCTGTGTGACTCCAGCACTGAGAGATGAGCACTGTCCCTCACAGACAGCCATCCTCCTTCAAGAGAAGGGCAGATGCACCCTGAATAGCCTAAGTCTTGGTGACCTCAAAGAATTAGTCTTCATGGCTAAATATATCTTTGAGTTGTTTTCAGATAGGAAACTCATAAATATCTGCAAACAAAGCTTTTGGATATGTTTTTCCCTTTGGGTGGCTTTTTTTCCTTTTGGTGCCAAGGATCAAACCCAGGGCCTTGCACATGCCACCTAAGCACTCTACCACTGATCTAGCTCCCTAGCCCTGGAGGTGACTTTTTTTATTTTTATTTTTTTTGATACTGGGAATTGAACTCAGGACCTCATACTTGCCAGGCAGGCGCTGTGCCCCTGAGCTATATCCCTGGCCCAAGGTGACATTTTAAAAATAGTTCTCTAACATTTAAAAAGCTAAAACTACTTCATGGGAGTTTTGGAGACAGTCATATCTAGCCATAGCCCTGATTCATTGGCAGACACAGTACTAGAGCCCAGTCAGGGCCAGGCACTGCCACGGCAAGTGGGATCTGCGGGACAGGCACCCCGGGCCTCAGGATCACCACATGGCTAACAGCCTTTGGGCAATTTTTTCACAATTAGTCCTCTTCTCCAGACTCATACACTGGCCTTCCACAATGAGGGAATGCTGACAAGTGTTCTCCACAGAACACTAAATATATGAAGGGCAAAGTCAGCTTGGGATGCTCAAGATATGCAAGATCCTGCGAGTCCAAGGCAAGAAAAGTGGCACAAAGAACACTCCACTTTCTCCTCTTTCCTGGTTCTTCCTTTCCTAACTTGTAGTGGTTTGTGGCAGAAACTGGGTTTAGTGTCACTATTTGTGTCACTATTGTCGGCACACACCTAACCACAGGTGCCATGAACTGAGTGGAAGTGCCAGATATGCTTCTGTGCTTTCGAGTCCTCACAGCATCAACACTTGAACATGCTCCACGGGTGATGGTATCACCCCAGCTCCGCAGCTGAGGAACCAGCCTGAGACACAAGGTAAAGGGCTTATCAAAAATAGCCTAAATGGGAACCTAAGTGGGAGTGTCGCTGTGGCTAGCCCCAGGGCTGGTGTGCACCCCAGAACCTACTACACTCTTTCCTAGAAGAGGGGCTGTGACCCCATGGTGGTTTTTGCTGTGGCGAAACCATTATGTATATACCGTGTCTGCACTTATTGCTTTGTAGTCAATTATTTCAGTAATGTCACTGGTAGCTTCGGCACCTCCTTAAGAGAGGGCACACACTCCCCATGGATGTCTCCTAAGTCCCACCTCGGCCACTAACAGAACACAGCATTTTGGTCTTCAGTACTTGAAACCACAGAAACAAGTTGGATCACCTATGTCTTTACACATCTGAATTGGACATTCAACTAATAGGACCATGCATAAAAATAAAAATGCTTTCAGAAACATCAAGAAAATAGTTCTGCAGAGGCACGTCCATTTTTGTGTGGTGGAACACACTAGCACACACATGTAGAGGTGAACAGGACTCCTTGGAGGAGCACTGGAGCTTTTGTTTCACATTTATCTCAAGCTGGCATGGGAATAGATCACCCTTCTTGATCCACAACAGAATTCTTTGTCAGTAAGGGAAGCATCTTCTGCTCTTTACAACCATATCTAAAATTTTAAAAATTTCTGTCATGCAGGGAAAAATAATTTTAAAAATATGAAATTCTCCTTATTTCTGTCTCTCTGAGCACGTGTATGTGAATAAGGATCCAACCTCTCTCAATCTCTTCCTTGTACTGCAACTGCTAAGGCAACCAGAAGATGGCAGGGCACTACCGCACACTGGGACCTGCTTTCTCCACACTGACTTCAGACAGGGAGAATCTGGCATGAAGCAAAAATTGTAGAATTCTCTGAGCCATCTAAACAGTGAACCTTGGTACTAATTAGCTGGTACGCTAATTGGTTTTAATTTGTTTTAGGCCAATTTTTATAAGAGAGCTATCTTTTTCGCCTTGCTATTTCAGAAGCAGAATTCAGAAGTATGGAAGGTGTTCACAACATCTGCTCTTAGCCAGCTATCACACAAAGAGGGTCTCTGGACCACAGAACAGGTAACCACATCTGTTAACAGGGAAAGTCATTTTATTTAACAAAGAAAAAGTCTGGGTATATGAATAAACAAACATTCCTCAAGTGTAGCAAAAAATGAATATTCAGGAAAAAGAAGGGGGACTATATCATGTGTTATTAGGAAAGAGCAATCATTTCCCTTAAAACAATTTGGAGGGAATACATGAAAGAAAAGGCCTACACTTACCTGTAGTTCCTTCAAATAATGGCTCCCTAGCACAGTCATTATGGTCTTTATCCTCTAAAAGAGACTGGGCTATTCCTCCTGAATCTGCATTCAGCAATATCTGATTTTCACCAAGGCTGCTATCTGCAAAATGGCCACTCAATTCGCAGTCTTCAAAGTCAGGAATGAACTGATGGAGAGAGGCCTCATGGGAAGACATGGGAAATGTGGCTTCTACGACCAAAGGAGAGCTAGGAGGGGACAAGGAAGAAAGGGAAGATCTCGAGGACAGGGACGTCACAGACTTGGGAGCCTCCGTCAAGGTGGGTGTGTGGCCAGTTGCTGCAACCGGTGCTCCACAGAGTCCACTCTGACCCAGGTGACTGGGGGACTTCACCACCTCATTTTCATGGATGGTGGTGATAGGCCCTGCAGGAACATAACCACCCTTCTCCTGCAGAAGGAAGTCCAGTTTATACTGATAATCCACGTCGATCTGATCGCCCTGACTGCTGTAGTAGAGCTCACTGGAACTGAGGGAGTTGAGTGACCCTCTGCTGGAGGTGTTCAGAGAGCCTCGACTGGACGCCAGGGAACCCAGGCTGCTCCCCGACGACATGGACAGCGTGCTGGCAGAGAGGCTGAAAGCAGAAAAGCAGGTTGCAAAATCTGTCCTGTACAGAAAATCCAATCACAACCACTCTGCCCTTCAGATCCCAAAAGGAAAGGAAACCACTGCTGCCAAAGAAAGATATCTATGACCAGAGGAGAGAACTGGCTGCTACAACATGGATTTCCCCACTTACTCATTAATGCTTTCAACCTTGTTCTCCAAACACTCTCTAAGTAACAATTCTACTCTTATTAAAAATTATCCTTCTTTGCAAAAATTTTTTTAACAGGACCAAATACCAATTTGTAAGTCAGCTTATATAGCTATATAGGAGCAACTTCGCAATTAAAAAATATTGAAAGAAAAAAGGAACAAGAAGTGTAAAATGCTATATAGTTACTATACTTTAAAAAAAAAACATTTTTAGAGAAAGTAAGGCACAGGCCATAGGATACACAAAAGATGCATGAGTTAATGCATCTTTCCTCTTCTCTATGTGTAAATGTAGGAGTGAATATTTTTCTAGTCAACAGAAGAAAATCTATGCCTAATTATTTTAGAGTAAATCTCTCCCATCCCCCTTTTGTAAGATTGAGTAATGGGAGAAATGTGCTATTTTGCAAATTTTTTATTGATAGTTAAAACATCTTCCTACAACATATTCAAATGTATTTCATCAAATATGGCCTTGGAGTTCATGAAAAAAAGAATCTATGTGAGTTTAAATTTGGGCACTCATTAGTTATATTCATATAACTACAATTATTTATTTTTAAATAGCTGAAAATAAAGTGTTAATTAACCAAAGGTACACCAGAACATGGCTGATAGAGAAACATTATCCCCCTGCAGCCTTACCTTTTAAGTTGTGAATGCAAGTAAGTAGCTAATTTAGTAGTTTCTTCAAGTTTCTGTAGCAGCTCTTTTCTTTTCTCTTCCAATTTCAATCTAGAAAAAATTATAGAAATTATTTTATTTTCAAGTTATTATGTTGAAATATGAGAGCTAAAAGGAAGAGTCTTATTATACAAACTTTATATATCAAGAGGGGGATGTCCAAACGATCTAGACGCAGAGAAAACAAGACAACCAGCAATGGACATGAGCAGGATAGAGCTGCTCACAGCCACACTCAGGGATTGAGGAGACTTACACCCAACTTTATTGAGAACTTCAGAATGCTGGCAGTGTAAAAATTTCCTAAGTGGGTAAATAATATATCCTATGCCTCAGAGGAGAGCAATGAGGAGGATAACATGATAGCAAAGCAACTCCACAAAGACCATAAAGTCCTTAGACAGGTCTATAACTTGGCTTCACATTAGTAAAACATCTGACAGCAATAATAAAGAATTAGAAAAGGTCATCCTAAGTATTGAATTTAAGAAGGATTGTTTGAAAATAAGACTTTATGATGAAAATTCTAATCCTAATTTGATAAGAATTTTAATAATTAAAAAGAAGTTGTCTACCTTACTACTGTAACTTGTACTTAACTGTTTAAGCAAAAAGACTTCAACATGATGTGATTTCCTAGCTCAGAACATCTCATCGCCTGCACTGGATTATTATAAGATTTTATCCACATTCAATTGCAAAAGATTTTTACATTTTTAAAAATTTAGAGTATCATGGAATTGTATATTGAAAAATAACTGACTTTAAAAATATATCAAACACACAGAGGCTCATGCAACTAATAGCCTGCACCAGGATGATATGTATTATCTGAGGGTCTTTAGATACCACTGAAATCAGCCAGTGCAGTGCAGTCAAGAGAGCTATGGAATGCAGTGGGCAACAAGCATGCCTTAGTTCCTGCTTTGGGATTTGCAGCTTACCAGCTGCTTATTGTTTGGCAAGTTAGCATACCAAGGGTCTCACCTTTCTCATCTGTAAAATGGTGATTATGATCCACCTGTGTTTACCTGATAAGGCAGTTAAAGGTATCAAATGAAGGAATGATGTGAAAGTGCTCTACAGATGATAAAAACAAATCATACTTGTTCAAAGCCTCAGCACGCCCTGCAGGTGGTGATACAAAAATTAGCCACGTTTGTTTGGAGAAAAATAAACTTTCCCTGGTTCCCAACCTCTCTGAACTGTTACATGTGTCCTAGGCAGTTAGGAAATATACTGATATTTTATTTATAGGAATCTATCCCTTTGATGCAGCAACAACACCATTCCATCATACGTTAAAGTAAAGAAGTAATCTTGGCATTTTCTTCAGTGCTTCAAGGTGTGATAAATTCTTTACTCACAGATTTCATAGGTGCATTTTTAAAAAGAGGGCAGTCTATTTTTTTAAATCTCTCAAGTATAAACGAACAACTCAAAAAGGACAAAGATAAACACAAAGATGATGAACTGAATTAGAAGGAACACAAAGGTCTGGAGCAAACCCAACATACTAAAATTCCCATCTTCAGAAGCAAGAGAAACTCCTTTAAACTAAGATTTAAAACTAAGTATTTCTTTTATTTAAATGAAGGCCTTACCCTTCTGTTTGAAGGAGGCACCAGTATGACACAGAATTTAATCCTGAAATGTTTGTTTCCTCTGAAGTTTTAAATATGAAGCTATTCCTTTCCCTGTCTGCAAGGACTGTCCCTCCTCTACTCACACCCTGGCTGTGCTCAGGCTGCTCTTCCTGCCCTTTCAGGCTGACTCTGAACTACTATACTTGACTTCTGTGTTCCCCAATACAATCCCAAGTCCTAGAAGGCAGACACCAGCTGCCTGCCTCTTCCAGCCAGGCTTCTTGCTGATGTTACCGCAAGAAACACACTGAAAGCTGCCTGGATCCAGAAACCTCTAGCAGGGCAGCTGTCTCTCCCAGTGGCAGCTGCAAGTCTTCCTTCGCTTCCTCTGACTTAACTGACACCAGCCCTTTCAAGAGGTGTACAACTGTCTCTCTTCTCCAATCCTTGTTTCCTAGCTTGCTTGGTAAAAAAGGGTCTTTTCACCCTGGGCTTGCTGCTGTATGCCCCTTTGAGCTGCCCTCTGTAAAATGTAAGGCCTTCACGTCCTGCCTCCACCTTGACACCCTGAGGTAGAGAGGTATGCTTAACCTCTCCTGCATTCAGAACTGTGCATCCTGGGAAAATTTCATGTTCTCCACAGAAAGCAGGCCCTTTCCATTAGAAGATAAATGATAGCTGGATGTGATGGCACACACCTGTAACCGCAGTACTCTGGGAGGCTGAGGTAAGACGACTGAAAGTTCAAGGCAACCTAGCAAGCCCCTGTCTGAAAACAGGAATAGGGATGGAGCTCAGTTTGAATGCTCTGGGTTCAATCTGTAGTACCAAAAAGCAGGCACTCGTACCCCTACCTATTTGCTTTACAATTTTTTCATAAGCAGAGGCAAAAATATTCAAATAATTAAGAAATAATTAAGATATTGGTAATTACAAGGCACCCACCAATTTGTGAGAAAATAAGGAGTGTTAAGCTCTTATCTGCTATGGAACAGCAGTTTGAGGAATGGCAGTAACTACACGGAGAGAATATGAACAATGACCTGATGGCCCTTACAATGAGCATCTCGCTTTTCCTGGCCTGTGTTACTGCCACTAGATGGTGAGCTCAGGCCTGGTGTCCTTGAGCTGGGGACACTGCCATGCAGTGGAAAAGGGAATCGGAGACCATAGAATCATACACAGTAACTGAAAATTCATGCACGTTTAGTACCTTCAGAAACTACAATTGAGGACTGAGTCAGAATCTTGCTTGAAGTACCCCTGAAACAACTAGGAACCCACAGTACAAATGGAAAGCAGGAGAATTTGGGGCAATGCAGCAGGCAGCTTTCTTTGGTAGTTGTTAGGTATCAAGAAGAAATTGAGAGATATGGTGTTAATGCTGTGCAATTTGTTGTGGTGAATGTAAGTTTAACACAGTGAATTCTATTTCCCCAAAGTATCTCTGGCCACCACCTGCTGTAACATGAAGGAAATACACTGCTCGTAAAGGTACTCGCTTACTTTCCAAGGCCGCAGTGTTAGTTTAACAGCTGCAAAATTCAAAGCAGAAATGTAACATGGAATAGGAAGAAACAGTAAAGGTTGAATCGTATGAAAGTGCCAGAGGACCGGGAATAGGGAAAACCATTAATACACCCAAAGCCCTACTATGTTGTCTCTGCTTGGGAAATACAGGACTCAATGTTTAGTGCAGCAGTGGCTCCTCCTCCTCAGGACAGGTGGAACTCTGAGCCTCAGTGGAGGGAGGAGCGAGAAAACTGTGAACTGAGCTGGGCATGGTGGCTCCCAGGGACTCAAGAGGCTGAAACAGGAGGACTACAGTTTTAAGGCTACTTGGGAAACTTTACAAGACTCTATCTCAAAAATAAAACAAAAAGAAGGTTGGGAATGTAGCCCAGTGGTACAGCACTTGCCTAGTATATGTACATAGCCTTGGATTCCATTCCCAGTATTGTGGGGAAGGACTTTTAAACTGATTGAGAAAGAAAGCATGAGTCCCTCAAACTTTCACTGCAACATAATTATCTGCCTTTGGCCACAGACTCTAGAAAGGAAATTAGTATTCACTTATTTGTAATATTAAGTGGCTTGACTTCCGAATGACTCAAAAAGTCAACATATTACAAATACAAAATACGTACATTTCCCTTCCAGCTAACATCTAATCATGGGAGACAGGGCTACGAACGGATCATACACTAGTGGGGCTATCACATTTATTCACCATATGACACTAATCCCATGGCTGGATCTCACTGTTTATATCATTATTCTATGTAAGTAATTTGCAACTCCTCCTGATGAGTTCCAACCTATTGTTTCTGCTGGAATTTTGACAGTTATTATGTATGTGCAAACAAAATGATAAAAGTCAAAGTTTAGGCACTTGAGAACAGACTGTATTTTTCAATGTCACTTCTTTAGCTATTTTTGGTAGGTGCTACTCCTAATAAAGACAAGGGCTGGGCGTGGTGGCACATGCTTCTGATCCGAGATACTTGGGAGGCCAAGAAAGAAGATTATGATTTCAAGGACAGTTTGGCCAACACAGTGAGACATTGGTCCCCCTCCCAAAAAAAGGATACCACACTTATAAATGCTGATTACAACAAATAAGCACATGTTTTTGTCTCCCAGTACAAATATAAAGGTTGCCTATAAGGTCTTCTCAGATTTACCTACTACAAAGAAGTGCTGAGATGGACTCAGCATATTAGAATGCAGGCCTCTCAGCAGGGCAGGGCAATATCAGCCTGTAACCCTAGCATTCTGGGAGGCTGAGGTTGTGGCAGGAGGATCACAGGTTTGAGCCCAAGCTGGGCAACTCAGCAAAACCTTGACTCAAAATAAAAAAATGAAAAAGGGGGGTAAGGGATATAGTTCTGTATAAAAGTCCTCAGCTCAATCCCTAGTACCAAGCAAATAAGGTTGAGGGAGGGCCTTGCTATATCCCCAGTTTCATATTAGATGATTCAACCACCTACAGATCAAAAATATCCAGGGGGAAAAAACCCCTGTGCTTGTAATGAATGTGTACTTTTTTTTTCCCCAAGGAATTTGAGCACCCACAGATTTGGGAATAAGAGGAGGGGTTCCTGGAATCAATCTTCCATGGATACTGAGGAATGATTGTGTATAATATTTATTAAGTACTATATACACTGTACAATACACACAATATCACTGATGTTTATACGGACCCCACAAAGGCTACTCCATTTCATTGTATTTACTGATGATGACGGTGTGGTTTAAATACTATATGCTCCCCAGAGATTCACGTCCTCACCAATGGATTAATCCAATGATGAGCTCATAGCCAAAGGGACTGTTAGGGTATAGGGCCAGCTGGAGGATGCTGGGCACCGGGGCAGTGCCCCAGAAGGGTGTGTGTCTTTTCTGCTCCTTCCACATTCTCTCTGCTTCCTGGCTGCTCTGAGGTGAGCACCTTTTCTCCACTGTGCTCTTCCACTGTGTTTCTGCCCCAGAGCCCGCTGTCAGCTGAAACCTCTGGACACATAAGCCAAATGAAATCATTCCTCCTTTGATCCGTTTTTCTCAGGTATTTGTTGCAGTGACAGAACACTGCCCAACATAATTATTAAACTTTTATCCTGTAAATTTAAACCACACAAATACAGAAAGGGAATTCAGGAAAAACAGTTGAGTGTAATCTTGTCTTCTCACTCTCACTTTTTGTTCCTCTGGGCTTTGTCAGTGAGTCCTTGGCCAGCCTTGCTCCCACCTACCGTAGGTTGACCCTTCCATTGTCCTTATAGACAAAGAAACCAGACAAGCGGTGAAGAAAGAAAGGGGAAATAGGGCCAGTGATAAAAATTAAGATTGTCAAAGAATATAGTTCATGGAGACTTCTCCTCTTGATACTGGCTAATGTTCTCCAAGGCAGTGATGTTGTAGCCATATAGTATTCTGATCAATAATTTAACTCATTAAAGTTAATTCTCAAATGGTTAAACACAGAGTGGGCAAGTCCACAAATTACCACCTGATGTAGAATACCAGAGATTTCTCCCTTTCTCCTCCTCACACTTTTTAAGTGTTTTGGTATTATGTAGACACATACTAAACACTTATTGAGGACTAAGGATTAGAAGGTAAGAAGGGAATAATAAAAGTAAAACAAACAGAAGCAAACTGGATATGACTGCATGTTTTACACTTATTCCAAGGTCAAACAAGATGATCCCAGTGTGAATTTCATTCCTGCCATTGCTCCTTACTCCCTGACCGAAAGGATGATGTGCAGCAGTTCAGAAGGCCTCAGAATCTCTCTGAAAGAGACATCGCACCATCCAGCCACCAGGCCTGGACACAGGACTCTGATGCAGATGTGTTAAACTCAAACTGACATACACAGGTCCCTTTGCTTAACACTGTAACTGATTTATTTATAGAACTGGAATTTTCAGATTAAACAGTCAACTCACACCTTTCTACAGGAAGATCAAAAAACTGTTTAGATTATTTTACTTTACACTTTTGTCTGTTTCCAAGGAGGGTTTGACTGATAAACAAAATTCAAGGAAAAAGGTGGGCATGGAGGTGCACGTCTGTAATGCCAGCACTTGGGAGGCTGAGGCAGGGGTATCATCATGAGTTTGAGGCCAGTGTGGGCTATGTAATAAGTTCAAGGCCCACCTAAACTACATAACAAGATCCTGCATCGAAAAACAAAACAGAACCAAACCAAACCAAACCCAAGGAATGCTTGTGACCTATTAAGATATCAAAGGGGGCTGGGGATTTAGCTCAGCGGCAAAAGCGCCTGCCTTGCAAGCGCAAGGTCGTGAGTTCGGTTCCCGGTACCGGAGAAAAACCAAAAAAAAAAAAAAAAAAAAAAAAAGATATCAAAGGGAGCAAGCTACCTTTTCCCTGTGAAATTAGAAGCAATGTTTTTACATTCTTGTAATAAACCCAGAATAGGAAGCTTCAGTCCCTGGAACAGTCTAGGTAATCCTTCTTATCAGAATGTAATAGTTTATGGCTATTGTTATCAGACTCGGTCAATGATATACTGCATTCCTTGTTTTAGGTCAACATTCTTTAGTTATTTGACATCTGTCACCGGCCTTTTCACATTCCTAACAATCACAGAGGACCTGATACTGTGGGGAACTACGAAAGTGAGCTTTATTGCTCTGCGAAGGAAAGCCCTTTTGTTTTGTTTCACCAATCACTAAAAACAGATGTAACTGAGATTTCTAAACCCACGGAAAATGTCACGGGCCAAGCTATAACTACATGTTTAAAGTCCCCCATTCCTAGGTGGAAATCATACCTCTGGGCCAGAGCCTGGCTAGGTGTGCCTCGCACAGACAGCAGCTCTTCCTCTAGCCGCTGCCTTTCGGCTTCCAGGCATTCCAATTCATCTTGTGTGCGTTTTTGTGGAGTGATGAACTGCAGCTCTTTCAAAAATTCTTCTTTTTCATTAATCAGCATCAGCTTCTCTTTCTCAATATCCAGTGCTCCAGGCCAGGCTTCACTGTCAAGCTTTGACAGTTCGATTTTTAAGTTGGCCATACTGAAATATGTAGAAGAGGCATACACATACTTAGGACTCCTGAGAAAGGTGCACACAAGCCAGCTAAGTCTGGGGTGAAACTGCTGTCCAGATCTTCCCAACTTGAGCTTACCAGACAGTAGGCAGCACCTCTCCCTCAGTGTGAAAGCCACATACATGGTAGCCTCAAAAGCAGAGTGCTTTGGGGAAAATGAGCAGGCAGCCCTGATGTGTCACTGCCTATGTGGGATGACATGAGCAGTAACCTAGTGCCTGCTCCTCAAAAAAAATGGAGGTAAAGGATCTCCAAAATGTAATGTTTACTATAGATTTTGTTCCTTTAAGTCAAGACACTGTTCCCTAGTAAAATGGTAATTCCCAGGGTAGTTCACGCAGAAGCTAGAGTACTAGCAAGACAGGGAAGGAAAACGGGAAGAAAAGAGAGCAGTGCCTCAGCCAACTTGCACTAAAACAAAGTCAGTCCATCAAAGGTTCACATCACCCCAGAAAAGGGGGCAGGACTTGGCCTCCTCCCACCCACATTCTCCTTAAGCCTCACACTGTGAAGTCTCCTTCCCATCAGGACCTTGGTTGTTGCGGGGACAGGAAGAGACAGCGAGGGCAAATTTACCAGTCTCATAATTTTGCCTGACTCCAGACTTCACTATGTATACAACTCTATAATAAATGGTTATGCTAATATAATTCTGAATTCGACATGAATGTCTTGAACCACCTGAGTTAATTAACTTGTTCTGTGGCACTACAAAGACAATGAGGACTTTACACAAGGTAAGTGGCACATCACTTTTGCGAGCATAAGTCACAAGAACCAGGTAGACTATGAACACAACTATGAACAAGAACCAGGTAGACTATGATATTGACACAAAGAATCTGTGACTCTATTTTTAAAATGCTGGATGATTGCTTTGGACATTGTTACAACACATACAAGAATATAGAAAATGGATAGAAAAGAGGACTATAAAATTTTTGTGTTGGAAGAAACTGTAAAAGGGAGGAAAATGGACACACACACACACACACACACACACACACACACACACAAATCAAGAACAAAAATGGAAGTGAATCCATGTCCTCGTGCCTTAAGTTTTGGTTTTAGTTTAAAATAAAATTTCCACTGCAGAATGGCATTGCATATGTAGTGTCCTTCTAATTTTCACCCACCCTATGCAATTATGATAGATGTAACATCAGCTATTCTTCAGTTGTAACCACAAAACCATAAACAACTGTCTCAACGTACTGAAAAATTAATCATCAAAGTGCTAAATAAGCATGATATTATTAGCTTCATTAAGCATATGAAACAAAGGCTGTAGGAGAAAAAAGGTTTCAGAAAAACATAGCCTACCTCTTAACTTATGCAAAATTGAGGAAAATGCATTTTCAACACATGTATATACACTTGAGAGTTACCATCTCACGATCATCACTAGTAACTTTAAAATAAAACTCCAAATAGTACAACAATAAAACTAAATGGGAAAGAACTGATGTCTTAAGCTTTGACTTGACTGAGTTAAACAACTGAGCAAAAATGTAATGCAATCAAGAAAGGCTAGTATTTATTATTTGTGTAATCAGACATTAGGTAGATCTCAACAAGGTGTACCAAATCTGGGGGAAAATATGAAGAGACACCCAGGAACATCTAAAAAGAGAAGTCCTGGGTAAGTCCCAGATGGAATTAAGTGGTAGTAGTCACAATAAAGCAAACACTAAAGACGACCCAAAGGAAGAAGCGTCAAGCTCATTAGAACAGGGGCATAAGGCTTGGTCCTCCAAGGTTAATTCTGAGTTACAGTCATTCTCTGTCAGAAAACCAACATAAATCCTAGACTTTGTCCACAGAAGAACCATGGAATCTGGCTACTATAGGATAAATATTGGTAAATATGATATTTATTTTACTTTGCTGGGGCCAGATAAAGTCTATGAACTATGGCTAATTGTTTTTAAATTTTCATCATAACCAGTAATACAGAGGTACCTTGGTTCAAAAACACCTTTGTTTGCAAACAATTTGGTTTGCAAACAGAAGCATTTAGCAAAATGTTGTTTTTGTCTGTGAACTCTACATTGGGTAATAATCAAAACAAGGTCATCTTTCCCACACAAACATGAATGCGGCCATCTTTTCCAGAATCATAGAATGAATTAAGTTTGTGAACTGAGGTACCACTGTAATAGCTATAGTACTTCAGTATCTGACGGTTTTACATATGGCAGGAAACCATGTAACTCTAGTTGGTTTTCATGCTCATGGAGAGGAGCATGATAAATTTCTTGATCTCTTGCAGGATGACAATACAGTTTTTTTCCTAATGTCTCCTAAATAATAAACCAATGGTATTTTTAACATCTTACAAGGAAAGTACAGTAATGAAATCAACTATATTAGTATGACCTTCTCCCTCCAAACAAGTAAGGTGTGCTATATTATGAAAACAATCTGAAAATATCTACTAGATAAAGATGGTGAAGTCTCTTTTGCCTCATCCTAGCAGAGATGTGGAAGTAAGAAAAAAAAAAAGTACAGAGGTTCATAATAGTTAATAAGGTAAAGGAGAGAAGTAAGAATATTACTTTATTTCTCCTTAAAATAAGTCAACTGGAACAGATACTTCAGTACTTTCAAGGACATTAGCAGTAAGGCTTCTCTTCCAAGCAGATGAACATGCTCATAGACATTTACTTCAGAACTCAACAGCTACCAAGTCTTGTGCCTGAGCTATTCTTCTACCTAAACATTGACTCTCTTCCCTTTTATGGGAGTACTGTACAACTCAAAGTTCCTTGTATTCCAGAAGACAAGGAGACAATTTTATTCCCATACTTCTCATTAATCTTCCTTATTCTTTATCAGCTTGGATGGGAGGGAAAAGGAAAGAGAGAGAAGAAAGAGAGGGCAAGTAACCCTTATATGCTAACACACCAAGGGTAACTTTGGGGAAAAAGTACGGGGAGTGCCCAGCAGATGTCACCGCAGGAGTAAAGATTAATTTTGGAAAAGAAAATAATGTTTGAATCCAATGACCATGAACAAAACAGCTTCCCTGTCCTTACCTTCTTTTGGCTTCTTCATACTGTAGGCTTAGCCTGACTTTTTCAGCTAAATTTGATCTATTTCTTATTCCGATCTAGTAAAAACAAAGGGAAAAAAGTCAATTAACTCTGTTAATGAATGAAGTAAACTGCTTTTGTTTCTAGGAAGTACAAGTAATTGAAAAGCTCAAGAAAATGATAGTGAAATGGAAAAGTACCAGTTTTAAAAAGACTCTTCATTGTCTCAGTAGGGGCAAAACATTTCTTTCAACTCAAGCTTGTCTGTTTTCCAAAGACTTTAACATCACTTTCTCTACACATTAAATTCAAGGCAAAAATACTAGGTAAATGTGTCTGGTATCTAAAAGTTTATGAGGGGTATATAGGTCAATAAAATTTATGAACTGGAACTGATTTCTTTGCTTTTATGAACCAAAATTTCCATCAGTTAGTTTTCCGCAACTATATAAAATATAAACTGAATAACCTCAAAAATTAATTTTTAAACAGGTAAGTCCTACTGTTGATCTCTAGCTGTTTTTCCTTCATAGCACCTACCTCAAAGAAGAATAAGAGAATACAAAAATAACTCAGAACTTATTGAAAGGTAGATACTTACTAATGGTATTCCAAAAGGGAAAAAGTAAAATAGTTAATAATATCTGAGCCATGTTAAATATTTGCAAATGTTAGCTATAAATCACAAATTAAACACTTTAATATAATCAACTACAAGTTAACAAAAAAGAAATTTTCTTGTTAGGTTTGAAAGGCACATTTCTGTTTCTCATTAGCCTTAATGCTCATACAACATGACCTAAATTTTTAAGGCTCTAAACTTAATAGTAATAAGTTAAATTAACATGTATCTCCAGCCTTTCAATAGTGTCTCTCAAAAAATGCAGCCTGAGAAAATTTGAACAAAGCTATTCATATGAACAAGTCTTGATGTGTTTGGCACTTTGACAAAAAGATAAGGCTATGATCTTTAAAACCAATCTTACAAGAATAAAATACTGAATGCAGATAGCCAGAATGCAAACCATGTGTCTAGCTCCTGGGCCAGTTCACCATCCACACTGTCATTAAGGCCCATCAAGGAAAGCACCAGGCCAACCAATGACATGGATAACTTACATCTCCAGAAATGCTTGTTTGTGACCCAGCATCAAGGGTCTGTCTGGAAAGAGATAACTGAGAATTCATAGGACTGGATCTCAAATCTGGCTCAGATCTGCCAATGTTCTGATCCAAATGAAACCGCTCCTGCAGCTTAGCAAGACTCTGTCCAGAAAACATAAAGTATCTCAGAAAGCTTAACATGTAAGAGGTCATTCCCCACCAGATAAAATTAAATGGAAAGAGCTAATCTCACAGAATAAAACAATTATTTATTTTAAGTCCTTTACCACTTCATATTATTTTAAAAATAAGAGCACATATACAGATGTGACTTTGAGAGCATCTGAGATCATATTAAACAAGTTGCCTTACTTTCCCAAGATAGCATTTTCCTGTGAATAATGGTATCTATAAATACAAGCATTTTCTATTTCTAAAATTTTCATTAAGAAGATGCTATTTCAATAGGAATCTGCTCTGGTTTGAATATGGTGTGGCTCTTTTCCCCAAAGTCATTTTCCTGTAAGTTTATTCCTGAGTGTGACCATGTTCAGAGACAGTAAAACCTTTAAAAAGGCAGGTTCAGTGCAATGTATTTAGGACAGTGGGAGGTAACACCCTTGGAAGAGATCAATGAAATTCTTGAGGAATCTTCCTCTAACATCTATCCTGAACCAACAGGGCTCCACAGTTTCTCAGCCTCCAAAACTGCGAGGTAAATAAGCTTCTGTTCTCATAAAGTACTCAGCCTCAGACTTACACACAACTGCTCACTTGATGTAACATAAATTATGGGAACATGGAATACTTACAATGCAATCTCTCATTTGAGATATAGTAAGACAACTTCTTACTTACAAGACTTTTAATATTTTGCCATTTTATACCTGAACAGGACCCAAGAGATTACTCAGTTTGCATTAATGTTAGAGATTAGGAAACTGAGGCCTACAGATACCTAGAGTGGCCCAAGCCTCAGTTAAGATCATCTATATGTCACTAGATGGGACTGCCTATGGTGGTAATGGTTGCTAAAATGAATGATCAAGGTTATGTGCCTCTTACTGGTACCCAAGTCAAATATGATGGGTTCAGTTTAGAGAACATGCACAAGTAAAAGTATTAAAAAGGAAAATCTTACCTAATTTACTTTTTGAAAAAGAAAAAGTAAATCCTACAGTAACACTAATAAAAATAGTGAGAAACCATTATTGGCAACTTTTTTTTTGAGATAGGCTAACCTTAAGTTCTTGGTGATCCTCTTGTCTCAGCCTCATGAGTGCTGGATTACAGGCACGTGCCATCACACCCAGCTCTCATTATTATCAACTTAAAGAACCAGTATTTAATCTTGATTTTGTAACTTTCCATGATAAGGAAATATTTAACTTTTCCTAGCATTATGGGATGAAACACATAGACACATCAAAGAACAGATTATAGAAAAGAATAAAGAAACTTTTCAGTGATTTTGGACAGTCTTTTCTATGTTTCTATCTGTAAATTGAAAAGATTAGTGTTTTTCTATCTTATCTGTGATGACAGTGTATTCAGTCAATTTAGCAGGTTGTGATTAGTATGTTTCTTAGTGAAATAGAAGATATCAGAAAATAAAATCAGAATACACCACCAGTAAGGCATATTTCTGTGAAATTTAAATATGGGTATATATATATATATATATATAGAGAGAGAGAGAGAGAGAGAGAGAGAGAAAGAGAAAGAGAGACAAAATTGTATTGGTTTTTGATATAAAATATGTTTCTTACTGTGCTCAAAGAGGTTTGAAAGTCACAGAAGATATCTAATGTCCCTTCTAGCTCTACTGTTGATCTATCTACTAATTAATTATTCTATAAGCTTTAGTAATTGAAAGGAATTTCATCTTTTAATTTAATCTGCTCTGTATATGAATCCAAAGTTTATAGGAAGAATCAAAGATGATTTAACATTGTTGAATTATAAGGTTTTAATGTAATTTTTTCAAATTTTGCTAATTTATCATTAAAAGGAACTACTGTGTGCATTTCTGAAATTACTAACTTAACCAGTAGGATAATTATGGAACAAAACCAAAATATAAACAAGGTAATTCTTATATTATGTACTAAATGTATATGTATGTGTGTTAAAACGTATTTTAGAGCAAGACTGTGTCCATTTGAATCCCAGTCCTAGTACTTACCAGCTATTTGACCTTAAGTAACTTATTTAATTTTTCTGTGCCACTATTTGTCTACAAGCTGAAGATAATTTCTTTAGAAGTTGTTGTCAAGATTATGTGAACCATTTGCATGTAAGGCAGTTAAAAGAGCATCTAACACAAGGTTAGTTCTTACAAACATTTGTTATTATCACTATTGTTTTTTCTATTAAATTTCTTCTTGCAAGTTATTTCAAAATTCCCTCAAATTAAAAATAATAAGGATCCAGGAATATTTACCTATATTCAATCAACATTTTGAAAGCCAATAGATAGCAGTTGAATATAATATTTTAGTACAGAAGTTCTATTAAAAATACAAATATCACCATTGGCTCTAACATTTTCCCAAAGACACATACTACATTGTTACTCGTCTATTTGTAATAATTACTACATGGCAGAAAGAGATAAAAAATCTTGACTATATTTGATAAATATACATATTCAGAATGATCCCTGAATGGCTCCTTTGTTTTTTCTACATGATACTGGGTCATTGGGAATTAAGACCCAAGGCTGAGAAGTATACAGAAAACAAGAGGACCTCCTATTAGTAGCAGTGTTCCTAGATAACTGTGTTGGGTCAGCACTCCCTACCCCATCCTTAGCCGGCACTGCAGAATCACTTGGATGGAAAGAAGCTGTTCTAAGCTTCTGGCACAGCCCCACCCGCAAAGGCATACCATCTACCTACTGAAGAGACAACAATGATAACAGCAAAAAGACCATTAGTTTAGAGAACCCTGCTTATCTCTGTCTATGGGCTCTAGGGTCTACCACCCACCATCTCAAAGAACATCTATGGCCTATCTTCAATGAAGCATATCAGAAACTGGGACCAACCCGCTCTCCCCCTCAGCAACTGGGCTGCCTCACAGCCTGTCACTATCTATCTCCCAGAGGGCCCAATGCAACACAAAAGGGGCCCAGGTGATAATGGGTCATCTAGATTCTACTAGAGACCTTGTGCCTAGTGGAGTGTGTGGAGCCTCAGCAGGCAAAGGATTAACATGTCCCATGACGTACCTGCATCAGATCTTGTTTTTCTTTTTCTCCTGAGCTAATTGCCTTTCTGATAGATTTCAGTTCAGTTAGAATGGCTTTGGCTTCACTAAGTTCATACCCACTCTGGCCTCCAGACATTTTTTTATCAATTCTGTTAAAAGAAAAATATCAAAGCATGATACAGTACAATTATATAAGCAGTAGGAATCGGTTTTGGATTGTCTTAGTTGGCTGAATATTTTACTTCATGACTCTCATACACGAGCACCATCTTTTCAGTGTGATTGTGTCTCCTCTTTCTCTCTTAATCATGTCCAGTTAAGATTTCTCCTATTCCCTCTCATATCTAGTCTATTTCCAATCACTTTCAGGCTCAAACAAATACTTGCCTTTTTTCTTCAGTCTGTTTGGGTGATTCCACTGCTGGCTGCACCCAGCTTATCACAAGCTGATCCTGATCTCCACTCTCACACAAGTAAGGGGTAAAAGTAAATGTTATAGCAGGACAGAAATGCCAATAAATGGCCACCTAATTTACACACCATGGTATCTGTGTGAAACCTAGCACAGAGCAGGCAGCTAGGTAGGCTTTTAACAAATGCCTACTATACAATTTTTTATACTAATGAGTATCCTAAGATATTTAGATTATATGGTTTCTTATTTCTTTCTCAATATGTAAAAATCATTTATCTATTTTTATTAAAGGTATGAGGTGAGATAAAATTGCTTGCTTTGCTGAATAAGTTGTAATTTAGGAATAAAACAGAAGGGCAGATGCGTTCATTTGTCAATTCCCATTGAGTAAATAGCTCTTTGAGTGAGCTAATTTATTATCCCTGCAGATCTGCTTATCAAATGTCCTTACAGTTTACATCACTACCCTGAGCTAGAGGATTTTGTGTAACCTAATTCTTTGTGTTTGAAAGGCTCAATCAAATTACCTAATACTTTAAAAAAAAAAAAAAACAGTTGAACATTCTCTTCATGGTCACCCTCCTAGTTCCCCCAATGACCATGCTGCCCAGGACTCATTATGAATACAATTTGAATTTTACTTGTGGGACTAATCCTCTGCCTCATCACCTATCAGCTCTGTACACATTCTTAGATGTGATCTTGGTCTTATCCACAGACTCTGCAGAGAAATGGCACCTACTAAATCAGAGAAGATAGACTCTGAGCTCATTTGGTTTAAAACACTTAATACATATTTTCAATGTGAAATGTGTAATCTGGAAAAAACAAAACAAAACAATGCTATCTTAATCACTCTAACAAAGTTAATTCAAACAAGTGCAGTTTAAGATAATATATTTCCCTAAGTACTATTATAGCAAACACTATATGTGACTGAGTAAGCAATTAAAACCTTTAAAAACCTAATAAAATAAACTTGGTCATAAGGTCACTTGATGATAAAATATAACTAATTAATCCACAGAATTATGCAGAGAGAGAGAGAGAGAGAGAGAGAGAGAGAGAGAGAGAGAGAGAGTGTTTAGGATGGGAAAGGGCCCTAGAGATTCCCAAGCTATACTTTCAAAGTAAAGAAACTGAGGCCAGAAACCATATGCAAATTTAGCCCTTAAAGTGCATAAACACTTAGCCAGCAGGACAATTCTCCTAAAATGACAAACTCTAGATTTGGGCTCTTATGACTATTACATCTATAATATCTGATGAGAACAGTGAAATACTTTGAATTTTGGGAACAGAGGTACAGTGAATTTTTTAGTTCCTCTAAGTATTATAACCACCAACTTAGTTGAGGCAAAGGCTTATTAATAAAATAAGTGTTATTTCCAAATATTGCACTTTGGCATCTTTGAGCACAGTAATTTTAAAACTAAACACAAATAAATAAAAACCAGAAACTATGAGATTTTATGCAAAAGCTAGTAATAAAGGTATCTGAAACTGTCAGAGTGAATTTCCAAGCCCAAGTAATTTCTTCCTATTTGTGTAAAATCCATGTAACATTGATAAAATATAACTTTAATTCAAAAATAACCTGATCATCTGAAAATAAAAGTAAGTTGTGGTCAAAACCAAAACTAACATTTATAAATAAAAGCACAACTAGCTCAGGCTGCTAATTTAAATTCTGAAGTGTATTAAAATTAGACAAAATTTTCTCAGCCAACTACAGGCCCGTGGCACAGAGAACATGACCTGCTACCACACTCAACGTTCCCTACCAGTCCTCTGTCCTTTTCCCTGCCTCCTCTAAACTTCTTTATGTCCTATGCTGACTTTTTCCATGAATTGCCTTTTTCTCCTCCACTTCTCATTTTCAACCTTTTCTCTCTTTTCACATAACTGACTATAAACTAAAATAAAATATGGATGTAATTTACTGGTTTGCTGGCTTTTTTCCCTGTGTACGTGTGTGGTGGTGGATACTGAACTTAGAGCCGCTTTGCATGTGGTAGGCAAGTGCTCTACCACTGAGCTACATCCTCAGCCTTTTGATGGCTTTTAAAATGAAGCACTGTGCTTTTTGTCTGAGAACTTTTTTTTTGTACTGGGAATCAAACTCAGGACCTTGCGCTTGCCAGGCAGTCCCTTGTGCCACTGAGCTGTATCCCCAGCCTTGTCTTAAGAAGAACTTAAGTAACTATTTTTTTTCTTAATTTTTTTTAAGTTTTGGCTTGTGTGTACTCAAAAATTAATTTTTACTTTCCTACTTTCTGAAAGATTTCAATTTGCACGCCTGCTTTGGAAAATGTGTACCTCCAGTGCCAAATCTTCACAGAATATGTACACGCTTTTGGCTTGCTGAGTGCTGCATCGCTTTCCATTTTCCAATTTTGAGAGCGCACTAGAGGTAGCAAATAGAAATATGCATCTTCCTGGTGTCCATCTATACATAAACTATACTACTGTTTAGGCCAAAGTCAAATTTGAGATGAGAAACTAAAATGAGTAACACAGGGAATAAAATGATATTTGTTTACCCAACATAAAACTATATAAAGTAAAATGAAAGCCCAAGCTTAAATTACCTTATTAATCTAGATTCAACAAAAATATTATGTTCTATTATAAATATCTGGAAAGTTACAAAAGCCTGCAATGAGATTCTAGATAAATCTATTCCTGAAATGTACTTTCTGTCACAGTCACAAATAAAAGTCCCTTTCTAGTATCAGGAATGTGGTTTCTTAAAAAGTCTGGTCTCTGGGTTCAATCAATTATCTTTGTTTTAGTAGTACGGTGGTTAACATTTGAATGAAAACAGCTTTATTTTGTCTACAGCTAAGATCAACAGAAGAGGTCCATGATGTGATATCCTTCTGCTCTTGGTTCAAGGGAATGCCTGAGTTTCTCCAACAAATGTCTATTGTTTTCTTGTGGAATGTTATTGACAGATTCTTAAACATGCCTTAGATTCCTATAAAAATTGCTTGCAAGCAAACTGCTTTGTAACAATATAGCATTGTCACATCAATATAATAAAAACAGCAAGTTTGGCTAACCTTTAATCCCAGTGGTGATATGAGTTATACTTTCATGTGCCATAAAAATGTTTAACATATAGCTAAACATTTTGTGGCACTCTTCAAAATTTGTTTTCTCTCCCCATCCCTCCCACAATATCCTGCTTTAGGCTGATACACAATTACTAAACAACACATTTACCTCTAGGTCTGCTGGGTCTTTAGTGGGGCTAGGTTGTTCGAAAATGGCAATACTAGAAAACCACCTGGGATCTCATAAAACACGCCCGGGGTGGAAATCAGAATCAAGTACTTCTTAAAGCTCGCTAAATTACTCTAATAGGCAAATAGGTTTGAGAAACACTAGGATGCTAGCATCTTAAAGAATATCAGCATCATGATTATGGGAGACAAGTAGCAAAAAGAAAGTCATAAAAGCAAATGTCTGACACTGAAGTCATGTGTCTGACTGATGGTCAAGAACAGTAACTGGGCATCCCAAGACAGACTCACCATGGAAACCTACAGAACAATCAGCATCTGTTTGTCTGCCCAATGATGCACAGGATCTTTAAGGGGGTAATACTTTGCTGCTTTGAACTGTTCTAAATTTCTTAAGCATAGAAAATAAAATATTGCACACAGACAAGGGACAAAGCTGAGTACTTTCCAAAGGTGGCTCCTGAGAGCAGTGTGACATTCCCCTGGTGCTGTTTTGGGGAGTTATAAGAAAGAAACCTGGCTCAAACTGATCAAGGAAGCCCTAAACACACTGCACCACCACTGGTGGCAAAGCCTATGCTAGATGGTAAAGATACAAAAAACAGCTGAGTGTCTTTCAGGGGAACTCTTTTGGTGATCATGTGGCTGTGAAAACTACAGGCTTCTTCCTCTCCACAACAGGCTGCTGGCTAGGGGACAAGGGAGAGAGAAAGTCTCAGGCATGCCCTTCACGGTTTGGTTAGGGTGGGTCTCATTAGACAGAGCAGTAGTTTCTAGGTCTAGGAATGACGTGGAGATTTCTAAAACCTGCTACATGCTCCATCATCTACATATTTTTTTGAATCTGGCCTAGCCTAAAGCTAATTCAATGGCCCATCAGATTTGATAACTGAAAGGGAAAGAAGAGAAGGAAAACAGGAAAGAGGATCAAGTTCCTTTGCAGAAACTTAAAACTTATTCTTGTTCTTCTGAGGTCAGTAACAGGGGACTCAGAACACAGTATCCCTAGCCAGTTTCCAGTGCAGAACATGAAGCGGTGCTTCCTGGGCCTGTTTTCTTAGCTCTCCACTACCATGGCAGAAGAGGCTGGCAGGGGTCCTGGAGATAAAGTTAAGTTTTTCACTTTGGTTTCTTTGGGTCTCCAGTGATTAATAAAAACTTCAGACATTTTCAAAGTATATAGATTTTTCCCAAGTTTTTTGTTGTTAGTTGATTGCTTTTCTGTATTTTTGGTACAAAGCTTTGAGCTTTTTGCTTTACGTTTGAGAACTCTCTTATGTAATCTGTACTTCTACTTTCCTTGTGTTAGTTAAGGAGCTTTGAATTATTGTAAAGTCAATTTCAGTATTTTTATACTTACTGCTGCAATGTTTCAAAGCCTTGTTCTTTATAGAGCAGTTCTTGCTTCATCTGTGAAAGTTCTCTCTTCAGCTTTTTAACCTTTTTTGAGAAATCAACATAAACATGTTTGCAAAAAATTAGCAACATAGTGCATTATTTTAAAGGATAATATAAATTATTAAACACATAAGGCCATTATTTTAAGTAACTTTCACTTTACCAGTTTCTTTACATGAATTCTATGGAAAGTCTATTCATTATATCTAATGTCTTCACCTCAAACCCCTGAGACAATATTATTAACATATTTTTTTATTCTTTTTCCAAACAAGTACATGCCTCCTCCCAAGTTTTTAAATTCCTCACACTTGTCTCCCTCACAGTCACTCCCATCTTCTCTAGTATCAATTCTCGATCCTCCCCATCCTACACTTTGGCTCTTTCATATCTTACCTAGTTTATTATCTTTCCTATCAGCAAGTTCTGAAAACCACATGGCTCCCCTCAATCACAAAGCGAACCTCCTTTCTCCCATATCTTGCCCTTACACAAAATATCCTCTGAAAACTCTCAATAAAATCAGACCCCACATCAACCTTTTCTTCTCATCTACCACCATTCTCCTCTTTAAGCCTCTTCACTGGGGAGTGTTTAACACTCCTCATCCAATCACCTCCCACTCTCCCCACCCACCTCACCCACCTCACTGCAGAACAACCACAAATAACAAACTGTCACAGTGTGCACAGAGAACAGACAAAGTGGGGAGTGTAACTGCAAGGACTGTCATGTAGAAGTGTTGTAAGATTGACTCTATGGGTGCTGTTATAATCAAATGTTATTCTTTCAGCAAAATACAGGGAGAGAGCTGAAATCACTTAAAGTAAACAATAGAAAGAGTAAATAATAGCACTGGACATACAAAGCTGTAAGTTATTCACAGGGAAGCAACATCCTACTAAAAATTCCCATTTAAGTCACAAACTCTCTTCACTCCTCTAGTTCCCAACCTGTAGTACCCCCAAAAGAGGAGGGAAAAAGAGGGAGACACATATATGTAAAAGATCTATCTATCTATCTATCTATCTATCTATCTATCTATCTATCTCTCTGTCTATATATATATATATGTATATACACACATATAAATATACATATACACACAGAGATAAACATAGGAGAATGGGAAAGCAAGGAAAAAGAAGATCTCCAAACCATTCCCCAATTCTCTCTCCCAAGGCAGAATAAGGGGTCACAAAGGGAAGAGAAAACAACTATCAGGTAGCAGAAATCTATGTTAAGTTTACAGAAGGGATGAAGAAAATAGTTGTGCTCAAAGAGGAAATGAACCAGAAATTCACAGCAATTTCATTCAATATGCCCACAGTAAATTTTGGGGAAATAGGTAAAAATTGGATGAGCTAATCAAAACAGTTCAAAATCTAAGTAAGAGATTCAATAAGGATAAGGAATCCTTGAAAACATGTCAGACAGAAATATCTAAAATTAAAAAACTATATAGAATTCATACACTTCAGAAATGATCAATGTGAAGATAGAGTATCTGATATTGACAGCAAAATAGTGAACTATGAAAAAGAGTTCAGTGAAGTCAAAAAGAAAATAAGAGAACAAGAACAGACTGGCCAGTAACTACTAGATGACAAGCAACTAAGCCTAATCAGAGTTAGAGAAAAACTAGAACACAGCACAGGCAGACTCACCAACATCCCTACAGAAATCATAAAAGAAAATTTCTGCAATGTAAGAAAAAGAATTTAAAATACAAGTAAGTGATGCTTATGGAACACCAAAGAAATATGATGAAAAAGGAAGCTCATCCTCATTAAATTACTAGATATCTACCAAAACAAACAAAAATGGAATTTTAAAAGCAGCCAGAGAAAAGCAAAACAAACAAACACAAAATGACATATAAAGGTAAGTCAAGTTAGAATTACAGCAAACTTCTCAACACAAACCATAAAGGCCAAAAGAGCTTGGAGCAAATAATCTCTAACCCAGATTAATTTAGCCATTTCTCTTATGGAGAAATAAGGTATTTAATGAAAAAGACCAGCTCAAAAGATATATGAATGCTAAACCAGCTCTAGAGAAAATAATTAAGAATATTCTTCTCTACAGAAATAACAAATCAAATATGGCTGAAAATACAGAGGAAACTAGTGAGGTCAATGGATAAACAGCAACAAAAAATACAGGAAAAGAAAAAGGATATACCAACAGATAAAAAAGGCAATGATAGTAAATAACGAAGACATTTCAGTAATATCAATGTTAAAGGCCTCAACTCTCCAATTAAAAGACACAGACTGGCAAACTGAATCAAAAAATGGAATCCAACAGCCTGTTGCATTGAGGAAATTTATCTAATCCAAACAGATATTCAGAGACTAACAATTAAAGTGTGCAAAATAGTATTTCATATACCAGGACCCTGAAAACAAGCAGAGATACCAAATGTATATTAAACATGGTAAACTTCAAGCTAAAACTGACTAGAAGAGACAAAGAAGCTCACTACACATTAGGTTCAGAAACAATCCAGTGAGAAGAGATAACATAGATAAACATATATGCACCAAATACTGGAGCACCTATCTTTATAAAACTAAAACTCCCAAAATTAACAGATCAAATAAACACTAATGCCTCATTTTTGCAACAAAGAGATCAACTGAACAACAACAAAAAAAATTCAGAGCTGATCCACACCCTTGAATATAAAAGACTCACATCAATGCAGTTAGAAATGAAAATGGTGAAATTGCAACAGACACTATTGAAATTCAGAAGATAGTAACTACTCCAAATAATTATATTGCAACCAATTAGTAAATTTTGAAGGCAAGGATAGATTCCTAAAAACATACAAACTAATAAAACTAACCCAAGGAAGGGCAAAGGATATAGCTCAGTAGCACAAGCACTTGCCTGGCAAGCACAAGGTCCTGAGTTTGATTCTCAGTATCAAAACAAACAAATAAACAAACAAACAAAAACCAAAAAACTAACCTAAGAGGACATAAATATGTTTAACAAACCAATGACATGAAATGAAATGGACACAGTAATAAAAAAGCTACCAACTAAAAAAAATCCAGGACCTGATGGATTCACGGCTGAATTCTACAAAACCTTTAAGGATGTTATATCACCAATACTCCTCAAGCTCTTCAAACAAATTAAAAGGGATGGAGTACTCCCAAACTTATTTATAAAAGCCAGTATCACTTTGATCTCCAAACTGGATGAAGACCTAACTAAAAAACGAAAACTTTAGAGCAATCTCCTTAATGAACTTAGATACAAAAATCCTCAACATGATATTAGCAAATAGAATGTAGCACATTATCAACAGATACAGAACCATGCCTGAATATGATAAAAACTATTTATGACAAACTAATAGCCAACATAGTAAATGGGGGAAAAACTAAAAGTATTCCTCCTAAAATCAAGAACAAGACAAGGATGTCCATTATCACATCTCCTATTCAACTCCGTATTTAAAACATTAGCCAAAGCAATTAGACAAGAGAAAGAAAATAAAAATAAAAGGGATACATATAGAAAAGGAAGAACTCAAAGTATCATTATTTGCAGATATGATACTGTACATATAAGACCTAAAGAACTTCACCAAAAATCACTTAGAATTAATAATGAACTTCAGCTATGTCAGGATATAAGATCAACACATAAAAGCCAGGTGTGGTGGCTCATGCCTGTAATCCTAGCACTGGGGAGGCTGAGGCAAGAAAATTATAGGAGTTTCGAGGCCAGCTTGGGCTACACAGTGAGTCCAAGGCCAGCCTGACCTACACAGCAAGACCTTGTCTTAACCCCCCCACACCAAAAAAGATTGACAAATGAAAATCATTAACATTTGTGTATACTGGGGGGCTGGGGCTTTAGCTCAGTGGCACAGCACCTGCTTGGCAAGCCAAGGTTGTGAGTTCGGTTCCCGGTACTGGAAAACAAAACAAAACAAAAAAAATTTGTGTATACCATCAATGAATAGAATGAGAAGGAAATTATGAAAATAACACCATTCATAGTAGTTTCAAGAAAACTGAAATATCGAGGAATTAACCCAACCCAGGAAGTAAAACTCCTACAGTACTCTGAAAACTACAGTGCTCTGAAAAAGGAGATTGAAGAGGACATCATAAAATGGAAAGATGTTCCCTTCTCCTGAACAGGCAGAATCAATGTTATCAAAATGGCCATACTCCCAACACTGCTACAGAGATTCAATGCAGTCCCAATTAAAATACCAACAGCATACTTCACAGATCTAGAAAAAACAATGCTAAGATTCACGTGGTATGGGAAGACATCCAGAAGAGCAAAAGTAATTCTGGGCAACAACAGCAAAGCAGGAGGCATAGCAATACCTGACTTCAAGCTATACTACAAAGCAATAGTGATAAAAATGGCATGGTTCTGAAACAAAAATAGACACTATGGATCAGTGAAACAGAACTGAGGATACAGAAACTTCCCCAACCACATTCAGCTATTTAATCTTGGACAAAGGGGCCAAAGTTGGAGGAAAGGTAGCTTAGTCAACAAGTGGTACTGGGAAAACTGGTTATCTGTGTGCAGAAGATTGAAACCGGACCCTTACCTTGAACCATATACTAAATTAAAATCAAATGGATCAATGATCTAAACATTAAAACAGAAACATTAGACCTACTAGAAGATAAAATAGGTAAAACATATAAAGACATAGGTGTAGGAAAGGATTTTCTAAACAGAACCTCAATGGCACTAGAAACAAAAGCAAGAATGAACAAGTGAGATTAGATAAGACTAAAAAGCACAAAAGAATCAGTAGAGTGAAGGGACAACTTACAGAATGGGGAAAAACATGCCAGCTACTCATCAAACACAAAGAACTCAAAAAATATCTAGAATATATAATATCTAGAATATACAAAGAACTCAAAAAATTAAACCACCGAAAATGAAAGATCCAACAAGAAATGGGTAAGAGAAATGATACTTCACAGAGGAACAGAATGGGTAAGAGAATGAACAGACATTTCACAGAGAAGAAAATACAAATA